TCTGCTTTCCTTTCCTCTATCATTCGTGCGCACCGAGAATCGCGCAAGGGCCCAGCCATTTGAAGCAAATTTACATTTTTATCGCCGATACGGATAACGCCGGCTCGCGGACTTTGCAAGAGGGAACTCGACGTCTCGTCCCTCGGGTTTACTGGAGCATAAAACGGGGAAATAAGCGTACGAACTATTTCTACTTTGCAGAATCCATTTCTGCCTAAGCGGCTCGGGCGGACAGCGGACAACGGCGCCGGCACGGAGACGCCGGTGGCAGGACCAAAAGGCGACGTAGCTTCCTCGCCCCAGGGCGACACGATGAGAGATGCGAAAGCGGAACGTTTTCACGAGGCCGGGAGAAGCAATTCCGCGCCGGATTCCTACGATTGGCACATAAGCGGCAGGTAAAATACGTTCCGCCATTCGGAAAGAGAAAAAAGGGACCCCTGTGTATTTTTCGAATGCCGCTTCAAATTCTTTTACGTACAATAGAGCGCCGTTCAGAAGAATCTCGCTCGCTGAAACAATCGTTTGCCGAAGTAAATATTCGACGGGGGATTTCGTTTACAAACGATTCGTCTAAAAGGGTTTCTCTGCAAACGTATAAATGTTCTCCGTGGATATTTCATTTAATTTGCAAAACGCATCGCTGCTGCGCATTAAAAGTGATGGATAATATGCAATTTATTTCTATTTCTATACGAATAAAAGGTTGAACGAATAAATTGCGCATAGCTGGTCGTAATATAAATCAACCGATAGTAAAAAGCAATATTATATATGTATGCTGCGTTATTGTCCCCTCGTGCTTGTCTGTTTTGCAATAATTCCTCTCCCAATTAATCCCTCCCTTATTTGCGTGTTGGCAGACAACTATCGGTGGAAACTCCCTTGTCGCCCGTGACGGAAACCGAGAGGAGGTAGTGTTACTGTCGATAGAAGTAGCGTGAAACATCCCGACGTCAAGCGGAAGATAGATCGGGACTGATCGTCGATCGCGAACGAGCGACCGCGACATCAAAAGGCGAAATCGTCGAACGAACCAACGAAAATTTAATCTTCCAGAGAACCCGTCGTTATCGATTTCACTCTCTCGTCGCTTGTATCGTCAGAATCACGGGGCATTACCTTCAGTTTCGCTTCAGGTAAGAGCTCCGTGAGTTATTTATGAATGCGCGAAAATTTCTAACCGGCGAGGCTGACGAAAAAGCGGATCGAGGACTCGTTGAAAAAGTTTCTGCTAGATCTCAAATGTTTTTACATATACGATTGAAAACGTTTGAACGTTACGCATATTACGGTGATATCCAATGATTGTACCTTTAATTATTGTTGTCGTTTGACCATGATAGAATAGGATGGGAACGTTATTTATAATTAATCATCGCGCATGAATAGGTCATCGTATATATTCCCCCCAAAAAAGAGAGTCTAGTAAAATTATTATTACCATTTACTTCGCTATCAACTGCCAATATTTTCTATTTGAATAAAAATGTCCGGCAAATTTTTTTCACGGCTACACAACATTCGGTATGAACGATCGACTAAATATCATTTTGTTCTTTCTGCTTTTTATCCGGCGAACTTCTAAAAGCAATTTGTATCAATAACGGAAAAATAATGAAAAAAAAAGCGCGCGGATCACTACGTTATTTTATTAAAGATTGACGAAGTGATCAAATATTTATAAATGTTATAATCACGTGTGCAACATCGTGTAACGAAAGTAGATAGATGCACTTATCGCGGAGGATGATCCGAAATTAAGACATGCCTCGCCGGAGGTTTTCATTCCATTAATATCCTAAGAAATGTGCGCCCGCGACGCGCACGTTTGTAAATAACTTGAAAATTGAAACTCGTATACGTTCAATCCAGTGCTAGAGAGAACCACTGAAAAAGTATTTTACGTTTTTTTTGTACGTCCTAATATAAAAATATCACGTCAAAAGCCCGGCACGAGCAATGTACGAATTGAAAAATTTTTTTTCCCTTTGTTTTTGAAACTCGTTTTTGCTTTGCTAGTTGCCACGTTCAATATCGATAAAATTCAAGGTGAACATCCATCTTATACGAACGTATCCGTTCGGCTTACTAAATTTACATCGCAATTTAAATAAAATTGCGTGAAAAAATATTTCACGTTAACGGGCCACTTTGAATAATTTTTAATAGATTCTATCGGCAAATCAGTCTGGATGATCTATATTATGATAAACCTGTGAAAATTATAAATATAGTTCATGAACACGAAAGATATGGAACAAGAATTGAACGAAGAGGTTCTGCATGAACAGATCACTCAAATATTTAATTACTATTTAAGCACAGCAGAAACAAACTGTACTTGAAACTAGAGTAAGAATAATATTTTTCAAATTCACGAGAAAAGAGAGAAAAATAGGGGGGAAAAGTGAAAAGATTTCTATCATACGTTTCTGATTATAGCCAGTCATATAGGTTCTCGTCTAAACTGGATTGACAGATAATATAATAGATTAGCGCTCGTCCCAAGGATAAGATTTCACGCACATGAGCAGTTGTCTCCGCACTCAACGAGCAGCGAAAGAATTTTTCGTAAAACAGTTAACTTAAAAATGTATTACAACTTAAATATTTTTATATATGTAAAATAATTAAAGTTGTAATAAAATATTTAAAAAAAATGACGAATCTAAAATTAATCGTATTACATGTAGTACAGAGATTAACAGTATATTATTATTTATTTATATTAATAATATACATTACGTTATATAAATATATTATTATATATAATATGATTAATTTTGTATTCTAATCACCGGATAAAAACGTAATATTTAAATCGATAACATAGTATAAATAATAATATGCATTTATTAGAATTTGTTACTTTGCAATTTACATATTTTCAAATTTTATATGTAAAATATATAATTCATTTTGTGATTATTTCATATATTTTTTGATTTCGTGTAACATCCTCTTCTTTTTCCGTCCTCTTAATTTGCATGTCATGCAATCTATTTGTATTTAATTGTTCGGCGATCATTTTACGCGGTACAATAATAATTGTGTAACTCTGAAATCGATATTCTCTCACTACTCGTATGCATATCGCGTATAAACACGTATGTTTTATATACACCGACGCGAAAATGGGACATTCGGTTTTGAGACCGTCGTGACAAAGTAATCTCCCATGCGTATACCCACCCGTGTGTAACAAAGCATTGTATCGAATCGACAGATTTTCCGCTACAAAATATCAATCACGTGGCGAGAGATCGCTCATGTGCCTGAGATCTTATGATTGTTATAAGTGTCTTTTGCAGTTCACTTATTTCGATTTACAAGGTACGTAGATTGCATAGATATTGTATATAAACGTAAAGGTGTACGTATATTGTATTCATATTTTGTATGTACGATATTCGTATTTTTTAAAAAAAGTAGGCTCGTAAACGAAAACCCGCGATACAACGACGCCCTTCTTCAGTTCGTGCCATTAAATATACGATTGACCTCTTGTTTAACGTTAAACTTTATGTAATTTACATACATCATTTATGATATTGATTTTATATATTTTTATGATTATTAGTCAATTATATAATTTTGCTTAATTTTAATTATATAGATAATACATATATATTTATAAGTTATATAATAATACGAAACAACGTAAGTCTTGTTCATTTGTATGGTTTAGTACTTTACGTTATAATATTTACACAAATTTCTATCTCAAATTCTACTTATTGGAATGATATAAGAATTACAATTACAATTTCTAATTTGCCTTCGTTCTAAATTCAAATGAACTTGGTTCCAATTATATTTAACAATTGTATTTTGATCAGACAAAATGGCAGATAATTTTTATACTTTTTATTCAAGATACAATGTCTTTGAATTATTTTTTCATTGTCTTTTCTTTTCGAGACTCTTAAATTACAAGTTACCACTGCGAGGGATTTGATTGAATTCAAAATTTATGATTCACATTAACGGCGCCGAGCGCACGACCAAGAAAAGGCAACCAAAGAGAGACTCGTGATTTTGTCGGACCTTATTGAGACACGGGGGACCACAATACAAACGTATGAATTTAAGAGATAGCTTTCAGAGCTCACGGTAGCGGACGGTTCGAGACGTATCGTGTCCCGAGCCTCGCGCGCATCTCAATTTCACAGCGCATACAATTGCCATACGGAGACTGCGACGGACTTTGCTATTCGATAAGGATAATTATTGAGCACGCACGTTTACACGACTTTTATTCGGCCGTGGCGATTCCGCGTCTGTGCGAGCCGACTCATCCTCCACATTATTGCATAGGCCAGGAATAAGCGAGCCCAGTGAAAGTGGCGAATTAATCACCAAGAAGAAAAAACAATATACATACACTTCCTAATATGTTTACATTTACTAGATATATTCGGCGCCTCATAAATTAAGATCCGCATTGCATCGTCGCGCGACTAATCCTAAATACGCCTGTCTAATTCAAAGCGTAGACAGCTGCATTTAGAGTTAAAGGAGAGGATGCCAATATGGATCTAGGAATCCTTCCAGAAATACGGATGTCTACTGATAACATATGCGCCGCAATTATGTTGTATGTAATACTATGTGCGATATTAATTCTTCTAACGGCTGCTCTACATTCTAGTGTATTATGTTATTCCATAACGTCCTCTACGTTCATCAATTTGTAATAAAATTTAATTTTCTTCAGTCTATACGTTCAGTGATTAATTAAACGCATTTTGATGTGCATTTCGATGCGAATTGCTATCAGTAGACATTTTCCGAATTGTTACGGGTATACAATTATTGTTATTTAAACGGTTATATATGTATATATATATACACACACACATTCGTATATGCGTTTTACGAATTACGATAAACTCTTTATCACATATTGCACAAGATATTTTGTATCCTATATTAGACGCGCACTCTGTTTCTAAATCTCGCTGTAACGGATGAAATACACACTTTGTGCAGACTAAGTACACCTTAAACATAGATTATTATCAAACGATTTAGATGTGACGAATCTCTCCGCGCTCGATATCGCGACCAAAAGTACTTGTGATGCTCAACCGAGGCATTAAATAACCGATTAGAATTTGATTTTACTCGACAATCAATATATTATGCGATATATGTATATATTATTTCGATATTTCTATTCTTGTCACATACTCATGAGATCCTTCCGTTGTCAACTTTCGAAAATCCACAACTCTAGAGATGTCTTTAGAATCTTAAGTAGCTGCAATTTTTATCTTCTTAACACTTTCTTAGATGTTATCTTCGATTATCTCTTTCTCTCTTTCTCTCTCTCTCTCTCTGTCTCTTGTTAAACTCGAGAAATTGTACAAAAACTTTTACTTACTAAATGACAAATTGCGACATAATCGCAACACTCTAGATATTGTGCAGTCCACATTGGAACATCGGTCCTTTCCTTAATTAAATCGATGATATCAATTTATTTGTGCGTTTGCGAAATATAACAAACTGTCGACTTTGATATTTCAACGGGGACTGCACGATGCCGCGGTTATCGCGCACAAAATTTCGGAACTAATGGACAAGCTAACGCGAACAAGAAGCAATTCTTGAAAGCGTTGTCTTACTATTTGCTATAGCTGCAATAACATTCCACCAAGCTTACGCTTCTAGATACTGCGATCCGCTGTGAAAAGGTCGAAATTCTTCTTACGCATTTGTAGTAACTAAGTACTGTAATTGCTCGTCTGTGTAATAAATCCTTTTTATCTTTCCATTAACGTCATTTGCCTCGTAAAACTCGACTCAACTATTAAATCTTTCATGATTTATCTCCGAGTGCTACTGCTCTCCCTCGCGCATCAGCCCCTTTCATTAAGCCAACGTGGACTCTCGTAAAAATTTTAACGGCCCACTTTAACACCCCCCCCCCCTCCCGCCGCTATTGTTTCCCCACCCCCCTCCTGCTCACCCGCGTTAATTGAAACATCATCTTCGTTAATCTCTCGCTCTTCACATTAACGAGTCGATACGTAATGATCGAGCGAGCTTATAAGCCAGACGCAATCCTTAGTCTCGGTCGATTTGTATTTTACATTTTGATGCCCGCCAAACCATAACAAAAGATTCTATTGTCCGCAAGTTGGTGAGTAAAACAATTCCGTAGAAATGTACAAGGGACTTCGTAGAAAGACGCGCGTAACTCTTTCTTCCTTCGCGTCATGGACTTCCGAGTGTTCGAGCGTATAGATAAAGAAAACGCACAAGATCAGCTTTTCATGAAGATACAACTAGCCCGCGATCTTGTAAAAAGGAATTTAAATCGCTCGTAATTGTATCATGACCGCCAATAATTTAGATAAGCGTAAAAACTTGCCCATCGTGCCCGTCGGGATTCTTATTGTAAATTTATACTACATAAATATATACATATATATATATTTTACTCTCGTGTACATTCTATTATCCACAAGTGTGCCGTTTTGTTAAATAAATCACGCATTCTGATGATGTCAGAGGCAAAAACAAAACCACGTCTTCCCAAGTTTTATTTCCACCCTGTGCGCGCGCGCCGCGGTTGCTTTTCCACGAAAAGACGTGACGTGTAAATTTTATTCATTAAAAGAGGCTATTAGTCATTAGTTTGTGCCCGATGCAAATGGGTTAACTAAATGGAGAGAGCGAGATGCAATCCGTCAATTTTCACACGAATTTCGAGTATAATCGAAACGCTGACGCGCTTGTGCAATACCTTGACCTGCCATAAAAATCAGGGACCAATATTGTAAATCGTTCGGACGAGCCGAGCCGATTTGGCCGCGAAGCAACCATGCGTGCCACGACTATCAATTCCGTTGGGCAACTCTATGCCGATGGTTCGCAGAGGCGCAGGCGAAAAACAATGGACACAAACCACGAAAGCCAATCAATCGTGGTGCATGCTTACGCTCTTGCATTGCACATAAGTATAAAAAGGTTTTGAAATCGAAGGGGGCCTTCAGTCGATCGTTCGGGCCGTCCAAGAAAGTCGTAAATCGTCATATCGGAAAATATTCGTCTGAAGCATGAAGCTTTTGGGATATTGTCTTCTTTGCGTAAGTATTGTACATTTAGAATCAATCAATCATTTACCAAAACGCTAAAACTCTTCCTGCAGCGTTTATATGTTTTTGTAAAAACGATATGTATTGTATCAATAGAGAGGGAGACGTAATACTTTTTTAATTACACAGTTGAGAAAGTTGTGTTAAATTTAACAGATATCACATGTCCCAAACGATCCACATAAATTTTCGTGTCAATTTAACATAATATGGATATGTTAAATGATTACACTATACTCTGTTAATATTTTAATATTGTACAAATAAATGCAGATCTCAAAATAATTTGAAATAAATTTTATGTGAAATTAACATACTTTTAATGGCAAAATGAATTTTGAAAACTGTAATTTTTATATTTTACAGATGTAATAAGTTAAATGACGGTTCGAAATCACTGTCACTTATATTATATAGAATAAAATCAACATTTTATTCTGTAAATTTTAACAGATAAATTTTGTTATTAATAATATAGATGATATGTATTGCGTCCGATTAAAAAATAAGTACACATTGTGTTGTTTTAACATTTCTTTTCAATTACTTTAATAATTTTACATTTGAGGTCAATTAACACAAGAGCAATATGAATTAAATTAACACATGAATGTGTCGAACATTTAACACAAAAATTTTAACCGGCACTTTTTTTAAATAAAAAAACACAAATTTCCCAACTGTGTACGTTTGAATATAACGTTGAAATGGCTTTTTATAAATAATTGTTAAATAAATATTTTGAATAAAATATTAAATTCTTTCTGCCAATAGACAGAAACAACTTTCGGAAACGATTGTTCGAATATTATCGTCTTTGGCAGATTATATTAATTACAACTGCAACTTTTTATGATAATTTTTATGATAAGTTTTCTACCTGCTCTGACTAAATCTGAATTCTCCTCGGTCTACTTCTAACCGATTTTTATTTGTAAGCCGCTTGTTTTATAAGGTTGTAAATTTGTGATTTTCTACTATCGGGACATTTGCTAAAACTTGCATCAACTGAGGCTTTTCAAAGAACCTTTTTACGGTCAATTTTAATAAAGTATTAAACCTTTTCTGGTCGCACCGAGTCACGTCTGATAAGCAATTTACGAGTCGCGTGAAAGCTACGTCGTAAGCTCTTGGCAATTTTCTATTGACGGAATTTTATCAAGCGAGCTTCCCAATCGCCCCAGAAAGAAAAGCGCGAAAAGCTTGAAACGTAATTATTTCCGTCTCATAGTGACAGGTTCTTTCCAGTAAATAACATTTATTCCTAATCAGAGCGTAAAAATCGCCAGTTGCAACCGCGATTGCCGACGTGACTTATAATTTTCGTGAAAATGAAACTACCGCACGTCGCTGGTAGTTTCAGCGAGTGAACGTGTTGCAACGCGCGATTATGTGTTGTATCACCTGTCCGCGGTACATTACAACATCATCTGATAAAATTCATGTTACGAGGAAGATTCACTCGACTGTTGAACAACATTTTCTGGTCCCGATTATACCTGCCTTTACGCAGGAAACTGGTAATCTCTTTCATAAATGTATAAGCTTATTCCGAGGCTAAGGGTAGATCTTGTAACTCTCGCTGCAATTTATACGTACATTTATTTTACATATTTAAAACATGCTCGCGTCAAGGCATACGAACTTCCGTAACTTTCGATATGTCTCGCAGCTCTTTGCTACGAGAGTGCAACCGAAGCCGCAAGTAACGAAGCTGTTTCCGGAAGGACTAGCGCCGTATCACAAACAATTCAACAGCACCACGCAGTCGGTGGATAAGTTTTGGGACAAACTACGCACAACGTACAAACTTGTTTTCCGTCAACTCGGCAACACCAGCGACGCGGAAAAGGTCCTCGCGAAGAACGCGCCGGATACTAACTTGCAAGCTCTGAGACTGATCTGGGCTGACACGCTAAAAGCAGACAACTATACGAATCTCAAGTATCCAAGCAACAGCTTCCTAGATCAGGTAAAATCGCTGTCGATACTTAAGAAGAACGACAGCAAGGCAAAGGCGAGCAACCTCGAGGGCTCAACTTTCGAAATAAAAGCAACGAGCGAGAACAGAACGAACGTGACTTCTAGCTCCAACAAAATTAAGTCACTGCCTGACGATGATTGGTTCAACGATATTCAGCCTCTGGGGCAACTGGAGCTGCAGGACGACGAACTGGACAAGAAAAACGAGGTGGAAATCGTGAAGACAGGAACGACGACGGCGGTTTACCATCTGCTCGAGTGGCTTGGGTCTCTCTTCGGCTTCACCTATAGCGTCTACTCGAAATTATCGGGCGTTGCTTGTGGCAACGAAAAGGCGATACGTTGATAACAAAACGGCAGAAAGATAAAATAAAATACATTACATAAAAACTTATACTAATCTGTTCATAAATCTATTAAGTCCGAATGTACGTAACACGAATATCTGCAATTGTAATTTATCCAATATAAAAATCGAATACAAATTACATTTAACGCTACATGCACGTCAAGAGTACGAGCAAACGTCGAATGAGAATTTCACAAGTTCAGTACGTTTAGTAGTAAATAGAGGAAAAGAAGGGAAAAGAGGACGGAGGAAGCGAGGACAGCACGCAATAAGTCGAATTTTATACCTTTGTACTGTCGTCGTATTCCGCTCGCATATTCCACTGTAAAAATAAACAAAACAAATAAAAATCTACATCTTACGAGATTAAATAATGGTGCCCTTTACACTTTACTAATTTTCCAATTGTACGAGCAACACAATGGATGCTACCGCACGAACATGAAATATTATATCGTCCCGTTGAGGATCCGAGGGCAAAGAGTTCGTTCTGAAAGCGACACAAAGTTCACCGTATTAATATTTCCGCGTTAGTGTCATAGACGATTCGTTGTACGGCATTGCGTAAGAGTTTATAACGCTATTTTCCGCAACGCTCAACCGCAGATTGCATTCACTCGATACACTCGCAAGTACAACAAAACGAAACAGCAATCTTTTACCTTGCACATTTTATTCAAAAATATTTCGATCTGAAAAATACATGTCATTTTTAGCTATCTGTTTTTGTCATCACTATACAATAACAATTCTCTTGCAGGATAAATGCATAAAGTCTTGTAAACGCACATCTTTGCTGGCCAAAACAGTGCTTAAATACAAGTCCTATAAATATACATTCACCATTTAAAGAGTGCTATTATCTTACATTTATCTCTAATCTCAATTAGAAAAATTGAGAGAAATCATCATAAAAATCACCGCCTCGACCGAAGAAAGATGTAAAAGAACCTCCATTCGATAAACATTATTCAATCATCAAGATCTTAAAAAAACTTAAAAAATAGACTCCAGCAAGACTTAAAATACTGCTATTTGACATACGCGTGTCTGTATGAAGTCTTTGGTTGTATAACGTGATACCAGAGTATGTGTGTTCTTAGTACCGTCTTCTAATTCATACGTCTAACGCGCACGCACATGTGTCGCACATATACAAAGAGAACGTTACAGAACTACAATCATAATTGTAGTGAATGTACGACGCATGGAAGTCTTTCAACGATCTCTCGCTCTAGTATATGTGTAAACTAAAATTGAAGCGTCGAACAGGCGGGTATCCTAAAAATAATGCCAAAAAAAAAACGCATTTCTTCACATCCTATTTGACTTAATATTTCTTAGGTAATCACTATCTTGTATTTTTTTTAGACAAAAGTGTTTCAGTGCATTCAAGTAAATTTGATTAAAGTAAAACACGATATAAATTTACAAAGAGAATGGATCAATAAAATTTAATATTTTATAAAATGGTATATAATAAAAAGTTTGTGAGACAGATGCTATCATATTTTTAGGTACCAACCAGCGACGACTTCTTTTTGAGACCATAAAATTTAATAGTCTAAAATATGAGATGACTGAATGAAGATGATAAGTGATTTACTTAGAAAAGAGATGAGAAATGATGCATTCAGATAAAAACTTATGCTTGACAAATAAATGCAAATAGTATTAGAGGAAATCGTCGCTTAATGCATTTTAACATATTTTTCATGTATAAAAATATCAGTTTTGAATTGTAAAACTATAACATTCGTTTTTATATCTAGAACACATTTCTATATTATGTCAACATAAATCTCATAATATTCGAAAAATCTATTAGGATAAAATATTGAGTTCTCAGATATTTATGGTCAAACTATTGCCAAAAGTAAACCTCGATATCCATCATAATGAATATTTTTCCAGATATAATTATTTATGTGTTCTAACGGACAATAATGTATTCTATAATGTTTTAATCAAATTTCTGGCAGTATATCGTTTATTATTTCCGTTTACCATTAATAGCAACTCAATTCTGAAATTTCTGCTAATATCAAGTGTCAAAATTTGCAAGTCTTATACCGTTATCATTCCTTCAGATACTTATTAATTTGTTTTCCGAATTCAAGTTAACCAAATAAAAAATATACGCGGCAAAAATATTACACATAAAAGAGCGAGACACTTTCGAATATTTTGAAACCACGAACGTTATTCAATAGCATACCTTTAAAAAAAAAGAAATGTTTTACTCTATCGGCAAGCTCGCTTCTGACGACTCTTTATTTTAGCAATATCTCTGATATAAATCTATTCTTAATTAACTATACAGATTAAATGTAAATGCATTTTAGTTATCGCGAAATAGTCCAAAAGTCTTAATGAAAGTAATCATTAAAATTAAAACTAATGACAATGGACTAGAATTCTTTACAATAACTAATTCTCTATAGCTTAAATAAGGCAGACAAGCATGCAATTACATAAACTGGCCTTTCCTTACTTAATTCCTCTCGTTGACTTTCTCTATTCACATTTAAAAATTTTTTATTTCATATACGATGCAAGAAAAATCTTTGAATAAATGTAAAGAAACACCGAGAATTAAGGCAATTAGAGTAAGTTGATACATTAACAATTATCCGTTCCTTCGCAATTTATTTAAGAACAGTAATATACGCACTCTCACGTAAGTGTGAGGATTACTAATGAGTTTAGAACGAAAGAAATCATAACTAAAGACAAAATTTTATCAAACCAATGTTTCTCATATTTTTAAATACGAATTTACAATAGTTTTCTCGAAATTGTAAAAGTCAATGTTCAAAAAATAAATGAAATAAATACGATAAATAGGAGAAGATGGCGAGAAAGTATGATAGGACACGACGGAAGGACAAAGATGATAAATTTAGGTAATCACAGCTTATAGTTTAGCATAATAATTGTGGCCATTGTGGCGCAAAGAGATGTGCGCTGCTCTAACAAGCCGAAGATCCGAGTTCAAATCCAACCAAGAATTGTTGGTTTTTATTCGATCGCCACCTCTCGAAAGGTAATAGTCAAACCACCGAGAGTACCTTCCCATGAAAATCCCCTTGTGGAAGCATGGAGGAGTTCTGTATGATATACAGAGGATTTAAAAGGACGTCGCATTTAAAAGGGTATTCATTTGAATGGCCTCGCATGTGATGATCGAGATGCTCGATCAGCTCATGCGAGGCCATTCGGATGAGCGACCTTTTAAATGCGACGTCCTTTTAAATCCTCTGTATATCATACAGAACTCCTCTATTCCAGATTTTCCTCTAAGCTAGCTTCCTCTAAACCGAGTTTCTCCTCTTGTATTGCTCTCTCGCACCTTTAATACGACAAGACGTTAAAACAATTATGCTAAACTTGGTTGGTTTCTTTTTTTTTATGCATATATCTCCGCATCAGGTATATGGGACCTACAATTTAACGCCGATTCCGAACAGCTTCCACAAGGGGATTTTCATGGGAAGGTACTCTCGGTGGTTTTCCTCTAAGCTAGCTTCCTCTAAACCGAGTTTCTCCTCTTGTATCTCTCGTAACTCGTATTACATGGTCAATTAATATATTACGCTACAACCCAGCCAGAAATAACTCGTCGATGGACGTCGAAACGATGTCGCGTCGACATCGAAACCGCCATATTGACGTCGATTCGACGTCGTTTCGACGTCGATCGGCGAGTAATTTCTGACTAGGAATAAAAAAATTCAAGCGGAAAAACAGATAGTGCAAGAATATCTTCATTCTGCATACGTGCTATTAGTATAAAAATGAGGACTGAGGAGAAGTTGTAGAATAGAGAAAATGTGTTCGGTCCCAATGACTTTAGAATAGAGGAGATGTGTATGTATGACACACGTATATCTTTATCACCATGCATATATATGCCTTTGATCTGCTGTTAAAACGTTTCGTATTAAAATTAAACTATAAAGGTGAAAGAGTTGTAGTGGTTTAAAGGACAAAATACAAATTCGAAAATTCAAATTACCTATGTCCACTTTGTGACTTACTATATGTATATTGCTTTGAAACATATGTGAAACATATGTGGACCTACAGCTAAGATGGCATTATATACCTTAAATTTTCGTCCATATTACTGGTCTGCGCCTGTTCAGACATATTTATATCTTTCATCATATGGTCCTTCAAGGAGGCAAATGTGTGCAAAAAATTCTTCGGATTTTGCATGTGTTGCAGAAGAGCTTCCTGCTTCAATAAGGAACTGTCCTTTAGAAAATAATTTGCCTCCTGCTTAGGCGCCACTATCGCGCCATCACTATTTTCGAATATTTTTGCAGCATTTTGATCAATATAACAAGACTCGTCCTTCATTTTCTTGCGAGTGCTCATATGCGTTTGAAAATGCTTGTTCAAGTGATCTTTACGTGAAAATGCTTTCTGGCACAACTTGCACCTAAAGTCCTTGTTGCCAGAGTGGATGACGGTATGTCTCGTCAAATGCTCGTTCCTCTTGAACCCCTTATGGCATACGTCGCATTTAAAAGGTCGCTCATCCGAATGGCCTCGCATGTGCTGATCGAGATGCTCCTTCCTTTTCAGCATGGCACCACATTCTCTGCATTGGTACTTTCGTTCCTGAAGTAAATAGAAATTTTTTACTTAGTACATATTTCTTTTTAACGATAAAAAATTCTCTTCGAGACTCGCGAACAATAAAGTCTATACGTACTTGTACATGAATCTGTATATGTTGTTCAATGTGTGCCCTATCTGGATGCCCAAAATTGCACTCCGGGCAACAGAAAACCTGAGTTCCATCGTAGTTAAAGCTTATCTTGATCTCGCCAAGTTTTGCTCGAAATTTCAACTTTTTCCCAGTTTTCGGCAAATCGGTTTGTACTTGCTGCTCGACTTTTAGAACGTTTCGCATACTGTTTTCAATCTCATGATCAGTTGGCAGATTCAGATCATTTGGATTGATGGCCACTGTTATCTGATCGGCACTTGCAAAATTATTGCTATTTTGTAGAAAGTTCCTAATATTTGGTATATTTAAAATATTCTGCGCTTGCTCTGCTTTCTCCTCCTGTCTGTCCTGCGTCTTCCTTGATGGTTCCGCACCTAGTACATCCCGCATTGCTTCCTGCAGCTGTAAGTCTGAAAATGATTGTTTCTGGACATATTCGGCCATGGTTGCTGGTGTTAGCCGTTTCATTAGATTGCCAGATTCCTGAAATTCACAACAGAAACAAGTAAATATAAATTTAAGAGAGAACTCACGCCCGTTTTAAGCAGAACTATGTCAACGGTCAAAACAGTTTTTTACAAGTCTGCTTGGGAACTAACGGACCTTTAATATCGTTTTAATCATCAATCAGTTTATATGCATTTTACTTTAATGATCAATCTTTCATTTTATAAACATTGACAATGATTCTAAAGCTGCGTTCGGAAATGTCACCCGAGTGCCCCATCACTTTATCCTTGTTATTAATCGAATATTAAACAAGGACAAAATGATACACTAGAACACTCAAATGACGTTTCCGAGCGCCGCCTAACTTTCGCCATAGTTTCTTGTCAAAATTGCTTCCGTTTGTTTTTTGTTTACGTATGTATACCGTATAATTTTGTCTTACCTTCGTCATATTAAATTTTACTCGTGATTTTCTCTTCCTTTTCTGTAACTAAATTATTGTTGCTGAAGAATGCTATCAATACAGTCAAACCGTTCGACGGTTTTATTCAACTACTCAGAGCAAATTAGATATTACTTTCGAATTGACATCCTCATTTCGCTTGTCTATTTTGGTCGTTGACTGCCTCACAAATTAAACATATCTTTGCATAATATCAAAATAACTAAAAGCAACTAAAAAAAAAATTACAATTCGCAGAACGTCTATTGAACATTTTTTATCTTTAACCTGGACACTTGACTCCTGCTTCCCGGTATCCGCCTGCGACGTGGAGGGTATGCATAGGCTGTTGATAAAATTAACGCCGCTCGACTGCACACCGAGCGTCCCGTTATTCTGAACGTAGTTGGGCACATTGATTATCTGGTTGAAGGCCTGCTTATCCTTGCAAATTGCCGGCAACAGATCCTGCAAAGAGTACCCGCCCATCTTCAGGCACTCGGTTGCCGGCTGCGAAAATAAACGGAGGTAAATTTTAGACGCGGGAGCTCGCGGGGCACAGGGTAGACAAAACCTGCGGGAGAAAGAGGGAGAGAAGACCCACCAGCAACGTCGGGCGAGACGGAAAGTGTATGCGAGTGAAGGTCTCCATGTCGATGGCGGCGAACGCGGCAGCGGACGTGCACAGCTCGGAGAACTGCGGTAGCACGCTGGGACACTTGGCGGGCTCGCGGGGCGCCTCGTCCCCGGGTGAATCCATGGTAACTCGCCGCGCGTGACTCGAGCGTGCCCGCGGTGACGGCGTGCCTAACCTAACCGAACCTAACTGAACGGCTAACCTGTCCGCGTGGCCGCGACGGGATATCGGGGGGATTACGCGACGAACGGTCGCATTCTCGCGCAGCCTGAGCCACGTGACGAATCCGGGTATCACCTGCGACGTGCCGTAGCGCGATACATCAACGCCGGAGACTCTACCTAGTTTAAACTTAGCTTATTTACCTAAGGGACCCGCGAAACACTCCCGTGGACGGCGTCGTCTCATATGTTCAGCGGTGTTCGAGGAGAACAATTGATCAACATGGCGTAGCTCGGACTCGGGAGACGCGCTTGGTTTCTGACGCATGCGCAGCGAGAGCAGCTGTTAAGCAGTGACGTATACTACGGCGTGAGATCGTCGCGAAAGGCGCGAAAGTCACGACCAGTCACGACGAGGTTAGGTTACGGTAACGGTAAAGTGTAACTTTGTTAGGTATAGCTTTGTGTAGGCGCGTAATATTGTATGCTACGTTTATACGCCTTTGCAAATGCGTAGCTTTTATTATTTCCGTAGAATTCAACAATTTTTATACGAGTTTTATGCAGGGGCGATCAACGGCACACCTTTCTTCTCGTATCAGGCACTTTACTGCCGCTGTTTTCACCGCGCGTGCGCGAAAAACCCGACCCGTCATCCACCGCGAAGCACCGTGAAGTTGCCGCGGATGAGCGAGGGGTTTGCCAAGAGTTTCTTCCGGTGCGGGCAGCTGCTAGGCGAGGATTATTTATCACCGCTCGAGTTTTGACGGCGCGCGGTGTTTACGTGTCGCGCGCCCCGATGGGACGCGGACTTTTTCCCGACGGACGACGACCGAGAGCTCCGAGAATGCCTGGAGCGCGAGACGAGTTTGTCCCTTCGCATTTGGCTAGCCTGGAGCGTCCCGTTTTGTTTACAGTGGACCCGCGGCCAACTTCGCGCCGATATGGCGGTCAGGTACGTGTTCAGGAGTTAAAGTGCATGCAAAGTACGTTGCTGAGAGCGGAAGTTCGCGGAAGCGTCGATCATCGTTTCAACGAGTTTCCGTCGTTGAACTTTTCGTAGAAACTGCAGCTGAAATTGCGAATGAATGTCAAATAGAGCGAGAAGGAGCCAGGTTAAAAGACCACCTCGTGTAAACGACCACGTATATGTATTGTGTGCCCGCAAAAAAAAATACGACCCAAAAGTCCCCGGTGTTGTGGGATTTTAAATGCTGCTGTGTCACGCGTTTAAATGAGCTTTAACTCGCACTAGCTTGGATCATTAAAGTAGCTTTATTATTTATTATACGCTTAATTTAACCATGTTAAAGTAAGTTGGGCTGTGACGATGGTATTTTGTGCAATTAAAACGACTCAATTTTGCAGTACAATATTAAACGACGGTACGCCTTAAACATCAAACACGCGATAGAGACTGGCAGTTGAGAAAAGTTACACAAGTAGACACTTTAGAACGTGTTGGTAAATAACCTGGAAGAGTCGCCGAAGCGAATTAAGGTATTACGTTAGCAAACGCAATAAGTTTATGTAGCGTACAGGTACAAGTATGAACTAGCTTGTTCTTCAGGTAACTTAATTTTCCTTATCTCTTTGCAGATTGGCACAGTTGCAAGAATCAGGACAGGTACAGTCTGAAAACTTGCAATAAGTTTTCAGAATATTTGGGTGTATCGTTGCACAGATATTCGTACATAACATTCCTTTGCTCTGATAATGCGTCGCCGCGCATATTCGTGAGCAAAAACTCGCATGATAAACTGTATTTCCAAAATTTTATCATAAAACGTCAGACGACCTTTCTGGCCACGTCTGTGCATGGGAAGGTACGATTTATGAAAGTTACACAGCGAGTCAAGCGTTGTTTTGTGCTCGGAGAATCTTTACGCCAGTAGAACATGTGAGACCGCGCCAGTCCCAGATATGATAGCGTCTGGGAAACTTACGCTGACGTCTAAGAAACCCCGGGGACGATGCCCAGTCGCGCCCAGGAGGCCAGTGAAGGATTGCTATTGTCGTTCCGAGGTGAACGAGACGAGATCTTGGAGAACTCGGCACAAATCCGCGTCGCCCCGCCGCCGTTGCCAAGGCGAGCTCGAGCTCGGACCTGACGTTGAGCTCGGCGACAAAGCGGCACCGACCTCACCGATCAGCTGCGAGACGCTCAGGAGAGTTCGGAAAATCGACTACGCGCCCAGATCTCAATTTCTCCGCAATGTACAGAGCAAGATCTGCGAGTTACGAACCGCAGAACGGGGAGACTGCTTGCGGTCGTGTCCGCGATCGTCCTGTTACCACCGATTTATGACAGGCGCGAGGACGCCGGATACTATTGCCGATGAGAAAACGACATTGCCGGGTGAACGCGAGCGCTTCGACGAGAGGCGAGAGCCTCCGACGTTTTCGACGGCGCCCGCGAATTCACTAGCGAGCGAGCGAAGCGGGCCCGATGGTGTCGCTTCGTGCAAGAGACCTCAAGTGTCTCCGCGAAAGTTGTCAAAGTCAACATTGCGCAAGACCATCAGATCTAGACGGCAGATACCGGAGTCTGGCGAGAGACCCGCGTCGAAATCGCCGACGCGAGGTAAGAGAGCAGCGCGGTTACATAAGCAAGATTGTCCTTGTTGCTGCAGAAGCGAGCTGGAGAGGAAGTCCACGCGGCACGGCGTTGACAAGCGTCTGGAGAGACGTGATTTATCGGAATATCGCGAGCGAGGAGAACGATGCTTGAGACACGACGGCGCGGGTCCAGTCGCAGTTGAGGATTTTATGGAACGGGAAATGGAGAACCTGAGGCAGTTCCGGGAGCAAAATTATTTCGAGACACATGGCTCGAGCCACACCTTGACGTCATCCGGATCGTCGGGATCGCTGCAGCAGTATCTGCTGAACGAGCGGCTGTTCCCAGAACCGGTGGGCAGAATCCGCAAGCAGGACCTGGTGGTGACGATGCCAGCGTGCGCGACGACGCAGAAGAGGCGCGTCCATTACTTTCCCAGATACGTAGTGCGGCAAGAGAAGAATGCCTGCAATACGAATTACAGGCGTAAACGATGCCAGAGCTGTCCTCTCACCGGACACGCTATTGATCTCGGAGTCCTGAAAGCTAGACCGCCGCTAAACAGCCTGGCACTCAAGTACCAGAAAAGAGTACCTTGACTTTTAACTCAAAGATTTAATCACGAAAATTTCAACACCGATCGTGTCCTAACTTTTATATATTTACATTTTAATACTATATGTAGATATAAAAGTGTAATAAAAATTCATTTTATATTATCACTTTATTTATAATAAAGCGGTGATGCCGTAATGTCAAATTTAACTCGCATGTATCTCCAATTATTTTCTTATTATTTTATTTTTGAAAATTTGGTATTGTAATGCCTTGATTTGATATTGTAATCCACATATACATATATGTATTACATACATTTTTTAACATAATTAATATTTTATTTCACCCACTCATATCTAATACCGATATCAAATTTATATTCTACTAATTGCAATTATCAAATCTTCTTTTAATTACATATATTTATTCCAAAGTATGAAATAGAAGAGAGTTAATAAAAATACAAATGTAAAGAAGATTTAATACGTATCGTTAAATATTAATGAATACAAATTAAATTTGTATAAAGATTTTTTCCATTTTCTACACGTATTAATTTCGTAAATTTAGCACAATTTCGTAATTATGGCACATCTGTCTTAGAGAGTGACTCATAAACCTTTTTAAACAATGTCAAGCCATTGCCGAATCTTTTCTGAAATTTTAAAAATTTTGTTGGCTAAAGCAATACGTGCTCTTCACTTTGAATCAAGACGGATAAGTCTTTTAAATATCATAAATTCGTGTACTTAAATTCACACATTTATATATTTTATATCTTTTTATCATTTAGAAACGTACGCACATATATGTACGTGCAAAATAAAAATTGAGGACACTACTGTGTCTCGTGATATTTTAAGATAAGATATATACAAAAATATAATTTATTTTATTATTTTTAGACTAATTTGTTCAAAATAGCAATTTAGAATAAATATTTAAATATTAAAATTTATTAATAACATTAATTTACAGAATATAAATTATTAATTATTGTACTATTATACATGAAATATGCCAGAAACGTCGAATCGTTTTGCAAAAAAAGGGGGAGAGGAAAAGTAAATAAGATAAAACTTCAGGACATTACTTGACTGTTTCAATCATGTTCTGCAGTTCGTAAAATTAAGATCTGTTTTTTTTATTTACCATACGGAATTATTGACACAATTATTATTTGAAAAGGACCACAAACCATGGTCGAAACGTTGTGAGTTTAAACATTAAAATTTGCCAGACATGATCAAGTAATCTTCTGAAGTTTTAATTACTTCTGGCAACTTATAAGATTTGGTCAGGCCATAAATAAGATAACTCTCATGGAAATACACGGAATAATAGCAAATAAATCATGATTATAATTATGCAATGCAAAGTTGTCTTAAAATAGGAAGATATAATTTATTTTAGTAAAAACAAGTTTTTGCAGAAATTTTTTTATCTTTATCTTTTTTACTATAAAAGACCGAATTAATTTATGGAATTGAAATTTAAATTAATTTATGCTAACTTAATCAGTGTTTGGAGACTATTGTATAGGATAAAAGTCGTAATATGTACACAAACACGTCGTCAGTATGTACACAAAAGCGTTAACGTCAAGCAAACTTTGTCAAGATTCAAATTCGGCATATAAACAACTGCGCGTGAATGTAGTAGGGGCTTACAAATCTCATGATCTCTGAGAAAATCCATTCATAATGCTGTTCGAAGTACGTTTGCAATTTTTTTGTCGCTTATTTTCACTGCAGATAAACACTATGAATCATTCCATCCAGTTATGCTAATCATATTACTTCCAGGTAAACTTCATTCTCTCGAATTTTTACTTGTATATTCAGATTTCAACTAAACAACTCAAAATAGATCAGGACTGCTATTGCGATGGACAAGAATAGGAAATATTAGACATTTCAACTAAAATTTCGATTTCTTGTTACGCGATTGGAAAAATATTTGTGGAGCAATTTCATAATTAAGCGATCAAAAATAATTCTTCATGAATATTTTCATAATTTTTTATACATTTAACATTTAAGTTAAAAAATCACTAAATGAGATTTGTATGGTCGCAGCCATGTGCCCACCTCAATTAAGTTCTAAAACTTAAGACCGTTAAAAATAATCTTTGACGATTTTTCTCTTATTAAAAGTAAGTGTAATTCCTATTATTCATTGATACATCAAATCAGTTGAAGATAGGTCACGGCGAGTGATAGTTGACCTATCCTGAACATGTCGCTGGACAATAACAGCCCAAGGAACACGTCGTAATCAAAATGACGTCATAATTATATCGTAGCAGAAAAAAATCAATACGATGAATTTTGGTTACAACATTTGACTGTTCGTTGACGTCAAGAAAACGCCATGCTAGTATTGGGTTGCTGCATAAATTAAACAAAAAATTGTATTGTTTTATGACGATCAGTTTCAATCAAGGCCAAAATGTCTGACTGTCAATTTCGGAAGGCCGTCCAGAACATTTTTTATCCGTGAGAAAAAATTCTCATTATGGAATCGTCGGAACCATTCACGAACGGTGGAATGATCAACAACATCTTCTCCGTAGAGAGAACATATTTTTCCTTTAGTCTGAATAGCAATTTTGCCTTTTTGAAAATAAAAAAGCATAATATGCCGAAAGTGACGCTTATTTTTATCCATCTTTATAAATTTACACGACTCACAAACGTCAATCGACGACAATAAATTTGACAGTAAAGCTTCAATTGTTACTTTCAAATGTTTAATACGTCATATAAGTGTGAAGTTGATAGCAGATCGAATTCGTATTTAAAATTGAACAGTATAGGTAGCTATGTTGGAGTCCATTCTTCGTCATTTCGAAATTGCGTGACCATTTTGAGTCAAGATAAAGCCATTTTGACTTTTTATTGGCTTTAGTGTGTTCCTCAGGAGGTGTTCACTTTCTATCCTCACTCTGGACGCATATGCATACATATATACAAACGATGTCCAGTACGGAAACGTGGTGGGGCAAGCAGCTTAAATAGCCTGTCTGGATTCTCCACGTATTCATAGTTCATGTTAAACTTTGCTGAATATTTTCGCCCGCTCCTTTTTTAGTTGAACAGAAATTAAAATTCAAGAATGATGAAGACGGTTTTATTTCTCACAGTGGTTTTAAGCGCGACAGCGTTAGAACTCCGTAAGTACCAATTGTACTATATTCTGTACCTTGTAACTTTGATCAAGTCATTTTCAACACTATTGCTAAGCGAGTCTATCAAGCTATTAATTAGGTGTTTTAGATAATAACAAATTTGAGATTTTTTCTAATTGTAATAAAATATTTTAAATTTTAAATTTTAAATTTTTAATATTTTGAACGTTTTAATGAAATGTAAAGCACAAGAAATTCATTTTATTTATTTCAGTTTCTTCGTATATCAAATTGATAATAATCTAATGACATTTCAATTGCATTAAAACTAGTCATAATTATTTAGATTTTTCTCCGCCTTTCACCCGGATTTTTCTCAATTAATCTACTTGTCTATCAAAGTATTTTCAAGTCAATCCACAATTAAGCCCGGTTGAAAAAGACCTGACAGATTAAAACTAGTTTTACGATTAAATTATAAACTACTTCGTTCATGTTATTTAATATTTTTATTAAATTTAACACAACAAACTTTGTTTCAATATTTCAAATTATTTACATGGATTAAAATTTAATCAACATAAAATTTAATGTTAAATAATAAAAAATTGATATTTATTATTAAATTAAATTTCCATTTATCCACAATCTAGTAAAATAATTTTAATAATGGCAATGTGATAATAATTATTATTATATGAATGTATAAGTTTTTATATTTCAAAAAATATATAAAATATCCAGAAAATTATATTTAACAATATATTTAAAAAAGTAGACCAGTCTCTGATAGTTTTCAATAAGATGCAATATCTATGGTATTTTCGTACATAATATTCTAGTCGCGTATTGAATAATTAATAATGTCGCATATAAATCAATAATGAGATCCATTTGCAATAAATTGCTTTTTATCAAATTGAATTAAACTTTTGACCGAAATTGACATGCGTGCAGGTTGAAAGAGAAAGCCAGCAACCGTTTAAAGATTGAGTGAGCACACAGGTTTATTGGATCTGCAGCAATGCAGTCAGTTATGTAATAACTTACACACCATAATTTTCTCTCTTTTTCTATTTAACAGCCAGCATTATCAAGCCTTGTGCGAGGTCGGACCCGAAAGTATTAGAATGCGTTGCGAATTCCGCCAGAGATACAGTCGTCTCGCTGGCCAAAGGTAAATATATTATGCGTATTATTTTTTATCAAAAACAATATTGTAAATAAGAAATCTCAAGGAAATGTCGGAGAGCATGGTGTACAATTGAATTTTAGCCAATTTTAAAGTTCAAAGTTCAAAGAAGTGATAAAAATAAAGCATATATCTTGATCTTCATATTTTTCCTCGTAGTTTTCTGGTTCTCTGTGCAAACATAATGAAACATATTTTTATATTTTTTGTTGAATAGCTTAGAAAAACAAGGATTAGTTCAGAATAAATTAAATCCATAAACATACAGTGTTCTTAGAAACGGCATATCAAGTGATTTCTAAGCTCACATACTCACATTTTGTTGTGAGATGCATCAACTTTTCTGCAATTCCGATTAATGCCTTTGTTGTACACTTCTTTGGTATCGTGAATAATTAACATCGAGAAAATTTCTAATAGTTCAATTGTTCTAAGAATTCAAATGTTAAGAAAATTCATGGAAGTGTTAAGAAATGCCCGTCCGTTATTATGAAATACATACACTCATCGCGATATACTCATATTTAAGAAAATTTCTTGGAAGCTCTAAAGAGTAAGTTTAATGTATAGATCTGTTATGCGTGTACAAAGAAAACCTTAATTCATACAACAATTTACATTAATCATTTTTTAAATCACAAAGACAGTGCTATTATCAATCACTTTTTTTCCAGGAGACCTCTACAGTTTCTAGATTATGCTATTAACATATTCTAACTCCATAAACTTTGCGAACAAAAAGAAAAACGTTAATCTGTCTCTTATAAATAAAAAGTACAATTGAATAGCAGCTTAGTGACGCCAGTCAAGAAATTAAGAATTTTAATAAGTACAGAAACGACCTTGATTGCCAGTAATGGCAATTCTATTAAAATAAAACACGTTTCGGCCAGTAATACCGGTCCTCTTCAGGTAATAAACTTACAAGAGTGCCTATAAATGTAAGATTTGTCAGATGAGAGATGTGAAAATTAAGTTAGGAGTCAGAAATTTCGTTGTACGATGTGTCTAGTCGTCAACGTTAGAAAACGGGATGTAAAAAGTACACGTCATAGAATAATAACAATGGAACGGAGAATGTAAAATTTGTTTCCGTACGCACTGTACTTATACAAATTATCACTTTTGAGTATTCCTACTTAATGTACGTAATAGTAAAACCACAATGGTTATTTTCCAGCACTATTGCCTAAGCAAGCGTTATAAAGAGTTCATTAAAATCTTGCGTCTATAAAATTCAAATTACTTTGACGCGCATGGAAATTAAACGTGATGTTTTATCTCGTACTGTGAACGTAACGTTTCTTAATGCGAAGAGTATTTATTGGCTCGTCAGAATAGGACGTGTCACGGTGAACTAGCGATGCGTAATGGAATATCTCATCGTCATATAATTGCATAAGTTAATTTATTAGTCAAACGAGTTTGTGTAATTACAGCAATACTACATTGCTATTTATATTGCCATAATTAATAATTACATCGAGTAGAATTTCTTCAAAATAGGTAGTATGCCTTTTATTAGAAACACCGTGATTTATAGTAAATCGTAACATATTGCATAATTTGTCACTATTAAGTATTCTAAAACTTTTTGTAGCATTTGCTTTTTGGTAATTAGGATAGATCAGTATTATTTGATAATATTTTAATTTATTCGTAATCAATAACGTTACATAAAATTATTTACTTAGAAAATCTGTCTTATCTTATTCTACTTTTCAACATATAAGAATTAAACAAAATACGCTAAGATTAGTTTCTCCAAATTGCCAGTATAATATTGAAATTCCAAATTTTATTCGACGACAGCTGGCCACACTTGTTAATTTATCGGTCAATGCATAAAATTTATTGCGAAAAATATTACCTCCGCCAGGGTTTGAACCTGGACCTCCCTACACTCTAGGCGAGCGTCTCACCAATTCTACCACCGGGGCATATGATAATATTTGTCGCAATAACAGTATAAAGATGTTGTCTATAATTTTTCGACTTTAAACTGCGCGCCGATTAGGGTTGTCGGTCGTACACAGAACTGTCGATACGCGATTTTAAGTATCCCCTATTCCCTTCCTCTAAAATACTCAAACTGGATTAGCATTATTTCCAATTGCATAATACATTAGATTTCCCTTTTTATTTTTCCAATACAAAATTACTGATATATTTTCTTATCAATTTTTTATGAAAACATTATAGCCCTAAATACAAACAAGTAACGAGTTACTTCCCAACCCTGACATATACAATATCTACTTTTTTTTGCTATAATAATTTTTTTTAAATAAGCTGAGAAATTATTGTCTGTCTTTGTGTATCCACGAAGTTACCTTGTCAAAATATCTATGTCTCTGACTATAATTCTTTTTATCCATTGTTCCATTTGTTAAAGAGAGAAATATAATAAAATAGTAGAAACTGAATTTTCTCTATCAAAACAATTTGTACGATACGCACATCCATCGCGACGCAAAAGTCGCGCTAGATTTGCGTCATCGGACAATCTGTAATTTTAATCTTTATTTACTTGCGTGAATTATCTGATGTAATGACGTAAAATACTATCATACGCATATCTAACAAAGTTCACAGACAATATGCATAATTACATTAGATGGTATGCAATGTAACGTATTTCTAAGAATATTTTTATAAATCATTATATGTTTGCAGAATACAAATGACCAACTTTATTGCGCTGAAATAATAACGATTTTATTATTTATATAATTATTTTACGTTAACTGTAGCAGAGAATATAATATGCAATACAATAATAAAGCTATTATTATGATAATTATGACGATTTGTTTAATTTGCATTTTTTTCAATTCGGCAAATATCATCTTACGGTAATTGTGTAAATTGTATACGTTGTTTAACAGAACAAAACAGAACATCAAGATGCATCACAATGAGATGCATATTGAATTCGTATACTGAGTACCTGTCATATTCATGTTTAGGTCTGAAGAGCTTCAAAATTCTGCCTCTTGAGCCATTAGAGATCAACAACCTGGAAATTGGTGCGAACGATGGTTCGGTAGCGCTCAAGCAGGAATATCAGAACGTTAAAATATATGGACTGACGAAGAATCTACAAGTTTACGATTATCAGTATGTAATTTTTGTAACACTTTTTATCAAATCAATATCATTGTCAGTGCGAAAATCATCTGTATGCACGTAACAGAAAATGCATTTAAATGTTGTATATAAAAGAAAACATAACATGTCCAGTGAACTTAAACGAAAGAGAATCTAATGATCGATAGTGCAGGCTGGTTCTAACTTTGAGATTATTGTAGAAGTCGTAACATCGACAATATCATTTTACTAAAGTCTATTGTTATTTCGGTGCCTCGGCGTACTCGAGGAAATCTTTTGGCGATTGTACTGTCAAATTACTAACAAAAGTTAATAATTTGACAATACAATCAGTTGATAACTAACAAAAAAAACACAAGATCGTATATGAAATATAATAAACACGTTTTAATTTATTTTATAATTTTCAGTTACAATTTTATACATAGATTTAATTATAGGTTGTTCGAAAAAATTCGTCTTTATAGTTAATTTTTGTAGACACATGTTCAGTATTAATTATATACGTATAATATATAAATATCTAATTATATAACAGTACTACATGGTATCAGATATCAAGAATATTATTAATTACGTACTTTTGATGAACATATTGCTTATTGTATTCTTAGGATAAACTGGGACAAATTAATATTTACTTCGCGTTCTTACAATCCTCGAGTGGACTTCACTGCCGATTACAAACTCGATGGCAGGGTTCTGCTATTACCAATCCGAGGAGAGGGCAAATGCAATATATCTATGCGTAAATATTATTATAATATGTTCTTCTAATTGTATATTATATCTTTGTTTTAAATCTACTTTAGATGATCTATGTATAAGTTGTGTTTAAAATTGAGAATGAAATTCTATTTATTATTTGATACATCATGATCATATATTTTTATGTTTTTTTATGTATATGTGCATTTTGATACATTTAGCACATGTATTATATGCTAATTCTTTCCAAGTTTTTTACTTATTACATGGCACATACATAAATATTATAAATAGAATTTATCTCGCAAGTAAACCTACCCAAGTGGGAATATACCGATTTTGAGAAGTGTTGAATATGTTGTTTTTCAGCTCGAAATAAGGGACACGTATTTTTTTGTACATGCCCATACGCACTTTTAGGTGGTGAAGTACCCCTTTGAAAAAAATTTGATTTTTTCTTTCGGGACGAATACCTATTGACGAAAGTATAAGAGCTAGAAATTTTTTTTTAAATAAAAGTAGAATGGTTTCAATAGTACTTTAAAACTATGAGAAAAAAGTTTCTTAATTTTTTCTTTTTCAAAATACCCCCACCACTCAACATTTTTTATTACAATTTTGAACTTTATTATACATATACGGTTGAATGTGTAATAAAACAAATTTTAATTTGGTGCTTAAAATTTTTCAAAATTGTAATAAAAAATGTTGAGTGGTGGGGTATTTTGAAAAAGAAAAAATTACAAAATTTTTTTGCTTATAGTTTTAAAGTACTATTGAAACCATTCAACGTTCATTAAAAATTTTTTTCTAACCCTTACACTTTCGTCAATATTCGCCCCGAAAGAGAAAATCAAATTTTCTTCAAAGGGGTATTTCACCACCTAAAAGTGCGTATGGGCACGTATAAAAAAAAGTGTCTCTTATTTTGAGCTGAAAAACAACATATTCAACACTCATCAAAATCGGTGTGTCCCCACTTGAGTAGGTTTACTTGTTAGAGTCTAACGCAAATTATAGATCAACTTTAAACAATTTTAATCGTAAATTCTTTGTTGGCAAAGTTAATCTTCATTTCATTTTTTTTCAGACGATTTGGTATCAACACATGACATACGTTTTGAAACGTTTGAAAAAGATGGGGATACTTATATGAGAGCAAAGAAATACATTACTAAGTTTATACCAAAACACGTAACCCTAAACTTCGATAACCTTTTCAATGGACAAAGAGCTATAGGTATTTTTATTTAATTAAATTTTATTTAATCAATCTTGATAGCAAAGTTAAATCAATATTATTATGTTGTAAATCAATAAAAACAGAATACCTTAATAGATTTATTATAATATAATGTGTATTATATAGATTTTGCAGTATATTAATAGTTTCATATTCTTGCGTCTATAAACTCTATTTTATTTTTCACGCAAATATAGAAAACTCTCATGAAACGTGATAAGTTTTCACTTTTCCATTTAAAAAAATAATATTTTCCTAATGCCTTAAATTAATTTCAAGAGATGATTAACTGTCAATATTTAATTTATACTGTGTTCCTGTATTAACCTTTCTATATTTCCCTGATTACAGGTGAACAATTAACAAAATTCTTCGCTGATAATGCCGACATAATTTTCCAAGAATTTGCGGGACCTTATGCAGAAACTTTTGGAATTGTCTTCACGAAAATCACTAATGATATTTTCACCCGTGTGCCAATGAGTAAAATTTTTAAATAGATAAAAATACTTGATACTATTTTGTGTTATTTCTCTTACTTAAGATAATTTTGTAAGATAATTGATATATACTAATATGCCAAAATTGTATTTATGTACGATATTAGAAATGTTTGAAATGTTTGAAATGCTTCAAATTCGTGATTATATTGATAGTAAATGTATATTGTGAAAAAAATTGTAAATTAATACATAGTTTTAATAAAAGTATGTGTTATATAATTATCATACAAATGTTTTTTTTTCGATAAAACATTCACAGCTCGTATTCTCTTAAAACAACTGTCCTTAAGATAATTACGGATCGTTTACAAAAATTCGTTGGTCGAACATTAAGAGAATTACTAGAATTGAAAACAATAAACGTCATAGCATAATTTTTAAACGAAATTATACAATTTCAAGTTAATTAATTGCAAACAAAAAATAATAATTAGAAATCTTTGTGCGTCACCTATCGAGGTAAAATCTCTAATCTTGGTAATTAGAATTTAAGTAACAATGATTTTTATTTCCTAACATTCTCTCGATTGAGCAGAATTAATCGTTAATTTAATCAATACCCAATAAGTCCGCAGAATGATACACAAAACGCAGTAACAGCCGCGGAACAAAGTAATAATCGTATTAGGTATGGAATTTTATTTCAATTTATAAGCGGGACAACGAACTCGCAACGTTTGTTGTTGTTTTTCTGCCTGCGCGGTATCGTGCGACGTTACGCGAGCCGGCGAGCCGTTTGTATACTTGAAGGTCGCCGCGCGATCATTCGCTCGCCGAACGTCGAGCCGGCGGGCAGCAGCGGGAGTCGCTCCGTACGTCGTATTACTTTTGCGTTATCAGTTTCCAAGACGCCGCGCTGTCGCGATGAAGACGGCGACAAAACGCTATTGATTTCTGCACGTTTATTAGTAACAAGTAACGTTCGTCGACTGATTATTGAGATTCTATAACTTGTAATGGAAAAATGGTTTGCACGTAGAAGCGACGGCTTTTATCGACGTAGATTTCGCGAGACTAACCTATCTAAGATCTGAATGTAAATCGTGGTACATTGTCGCGATTACATCTCGTTTACGCGCCGCGCTTTTAATTATCTGTCGATTTCGTGTAATCTATTCCATTTTCGGGCAAAGAGAGAGTAATTTGTGCGGTTTTGGCGTCCGCGCTGTAATTCGCTCTGTCGTTCTTCGCGACTCGAACGGGCAGAAAGCAGAAAAAGTCGCTTGTTGCGCGTCGTTACATTGTGTAGATGTGATGGAAAATTATCTCGATTAACTGTTGCAATTAACAACTATTTCGTCGCCGGAGGTTTCGCTCACATACCTAATTCATTTCGAGGATTAGATTGAATGACAATATTGTAAAATCGTTTCGTGGCGGACTAATAACTACTTGTTCACCGCAGATTATGCTTGGATTCCAATGCTCGCGTTGCGTTTATCTATTGTCTACTTCTTCCGAATCGAAAATGCAAGTTGTTAGTTTGAATAATTTCTGTGACAGGCAGTCACGCGATATTTGTTACTAATTATACTTTGTGCGTCTCGCGATATTTCACGCCGCGTACGCGAGTGTCCGAAACGCGCGATCGATGATTTTCGCGAGCGAGTGTTGTGCAACAAGAAAATCTGAGAAGATGAGGAGGCCAAGGAGGCATCGGGCAACGGCAGAAAAATGGTGAGGTAAGTGTCTTACATTTTTTTTTATTATTCGCTACTTTGCAAAATAAAGCATCTGTTCTCTGTTTCTGTTTTATCTGTTCAAATGATTCGAACGACCACTCGAATAAGTGTTACAGACAAAAACATATATAATTTTTTATTTAATATTTAAAAGGAAGCCTTTGAGTATTCCATAATTATTTTAATAACTGTCCATTTTTAAAAATATAAAATATTTAATACAATAATTTCGATTTGACATAATTATTATATAATAATCACGTACATTTTTGTATTTTTACAGTGTGGCATACATGTATTAATTGTAAGACGACAACTATTGCGAATCGGTGAGTGACAAATTACCCTTTATTTTAAATTGACGTTGCGCATGCAATACTTTGTGCTTGCACGTGTACAAAGTTAAATATACAATGCTCAAGAGTAAACAGCGCGCGCTTTGTACTCTCTAGGGTAAAGAAATTAACGCGGAAATATTATCAGGCTACCAAGAACCAGCCAGATCGAAAATAGCATTTTCTCTAATTAATTGCAACAATTAACAAGAGACATGGGCAGTCTCTCGCGCCAAGTGTATACATTCGCGACACTGGCAGTCAGATAGTAATTACCGAAATTTTATTTAGATATAACTAGAATTTTTTAATATATTCATTATACAATGTACATTTTCGTTTTCTCTCTATTTTTACGTGGTAAAAAGCAATGTGTTGTAAATTGCAAGTAAATGCCTTACCGACGAGTAAAGTTACATGCTATTAGTGAGAGCAACTCGCAACAGGTAGTGCCACTTGTCTCTTGTACGGTCATTATTGGTTATTTAGAAATTGTTTAATAGTCGCACAAAAATTTTTAATTGTTAGTTGAAATTGCACATATATGAAAAAGACATGAATTATCGACATGAAAAGTATGAAAAAAATATGTCGAATTAATTTTTCTCGTGACTATTACTGTCGCTTAAAAAATACTATTAGAATTACTATTTAACATATGAAAATAATACATGCACTTAAAATATTAATAGTTGAGAAACATCGCGGTAATAACATAAGATAAAATAATGTTAGGAAATGAGTAAAGATAAAAGACGATAAGAAATATATTAGCAGATTATCACAACTGCTGCAAATTTACAGAAGTGCATCGCCAGCGAGCAGCAAATCGCGTCATAAATAAAAGTTTATAATGAATAAAATATGCAAAAGTAGCTAACAAATAGATCTTAAATTTATGCTGCTACTATACACACGGTTGTTTTTCTCATGGTTAAACTCCGACTCCGACACGATTTGCCAACGATACATTTATTTCTATAAGTCTACCACGATCTTACAGTAACCTGTAAGTATTTTTCCGTCGTTTTTTAACCGGAGACCGCTCGGTATCGAGAAATTAAAACAAAATACTCATTTTAAATATACATATTTTATGTGTGTGTCTATGCGTTGTCGACAAAAATTCTCATTCAAAAATAATTTTCTATCCACGATAAATTTTATCAACATCACTTTGGGCAAAATTTATTTTGTGGGAAAGTATTTAAGAAATGCAATTTTTTTATCATTATTAAAACATACTATATTATCGCTGGAAAGACTATCAATTTATCAAATATAGATTAATTAACGAACGAACTACTGACGGAATACTTTAAATAATTAATGTTTTATTAATTAAATCGATTTGCATATTTTATACAATCTCACAAATTCCTATTCCATTCAAGAAACTTAATTCATTCGTACAGAAAAATTAATTAGATACTACATGTTTTGTATATGTTTACGAAAAAACTTCTTATTCAAAATAATTTTCTATCCACGATAAAACAGATTTTGACATTTTATCAATATCACTTCGGGCAAAATTTATTTTGTGGGAAAGTCTATAAGAAGTGCAATTTTTTATCATTATTAAAACATACCATGTTATCGCAGGAAAGACTATCAATTTATCAAACAAATATAGATTAATTAACGAGCGAACTACTGACGGAATACTTTAAATAATTAATGTTTTATTAATTAAATCGATTTGTATATCTTATACGATCTCACGAATTCCTATTCTATTCAAGAAACTTAATGCATTCGCACAAAGAAATTAATTGAGATACCGCACATAAATTTGAAAATAACATTACTTATACAGGGTGTCCTAAAACCACCGGAGGTGCTCTTAAT